TACTCAAGTACAAAATTAACTTTCAGTGAATTAGACAGCTACCACTGAATGACAAATCAAGCTTTAAAATAATCATTACAAGAAAGTAAAATGTGCTGTAATGTTCAACTGTAATAAAAGAATGAAGAAACTGCAAAAGCTGAAATGGCCCAGATTACTCTTACAGTATGTATTACATGCACATTTTACTAGCTATGCTACTCACCATCTATCCTGTTGTAGATAGTGAGTAGCCAGCCTACAATGTGCAGTTGTTAACAATGTGGCAGCCCCTGCTTTGCTTCTTTGAAATGTGTGTCTACATCTGTCTTGTTGTTTAAATTGTGAACCTCTAAACTAGTACTGATTTACTGTATATGGGTGAGGATTACTCTCATCAGCCACATTCTGAACATAATATTTATTATGGTTATATCTACCCATAAAGGAAAAACACCATCATTATTATCAATCACATTGCATTAGGTAACTTTAGTCAAGGCTTGAATTTTAAAGCATTGCCAAGGATTTTTTAGATGAGGGTTCTGAAATTTTTACAAGTATTGAACACTTAATGATGAGAATGATGATAAAAATATTGTTACTTTTAGGACCTCACCATTCGGAACTTTTCAATATCTTTGTTGCCACTGATAAACATGGGACATTCTCTGTCACCTGTTCTGTGGCCATAGGATTTGCAGCGCCAACCTGAAAGAATCACATGCATTATAAACACATCACTCTGGGACCATATACATGATAAATTGAAAAGCTGACACTAACAAGTCATAAGATAAAGGCATTTCACTGGCTGGGACAAACACTTGTGTATAACATATTATCTAGTTACTCTGGGGTGTATGTTAACTTGCCTTATGGCTAATGTGGCAGGCTTCAGCTCAAGTGGTTTCAGGTTGAAATGGCCTGAAATATACTTTAACCCTTAAAATACTTTAGGCAGTTGCTAAACTCACATTTCATAACTTTAACTTCCTTTCCAAGGGGCATCCACAGTCCTTTAGAAGGGGCGTGAGCAAGAAATTCCCTTGCATCCTTGTTTTCTGGTAAATCAGGAATACAGTCCTCTGGGGGCTCGTCTTTCTCCTGGATTATAACAAGAGACCCACAAAGCAATCATTTCGTATGAATTCCATTCTAGATGGCAAAAAGTCATCATCCCAAGTCAGATCAGAACTTCACACACTTAGTACAGTATTCTGCACAAGGTATAGTGTGTGCAAGCTCAGGAAATTCATCAGCTAGATTTTGGAATAACTTGGTGTTTCCAAACCAGAGATTCCAACCCCTTTTGAAGGAAAATAGGGAGACTCTTTTAGCACCAGAGGCAGCAGCCTCTAGTGGGGTCCGGGGGCATGCCCACCGGGAAATTTTGCATATTTAGGTTTTCTCAAATGCTTTTTGCTACATTTTGGAGCTGCTAAATGGAGTAAGACTGCTGACCTGATGAGTCTGCACAACAGGTGGTGAGAGACTGGGTGAGGTAATATGAGAAGAAAGTGTAATACATCACAAAAAAAATACTTAAGATTAGCATTTTTTCCCTTGTTTTCACAATTTTATGATAAATCAGGAGAACTTGATAAGAATCGGGAGAGCGGGAGGCAACACATCAAATCGGGAGGGTAAGAATCTCTAACAGACAAACATAGATGATAGTCAAAGAATACTCTCCAGGGCTTCAGTCAAAAACTGAAAAAAAAAAATGACGGTGAACATTACTGACCTCTGGGCTTTTACTTTATTTAGGGCCTCCACAGACTAGATATTTAGTCGTGAACAATAAATTGTTTATAATCGGCAATTAAATTTTATCTACAGCCCAATTGGGGGATACCCAGGGCAATCTGGGGGTTTCCACCTCGTTTTTACTTGAATTAGGTCCCCCGATCGATAGTCGGGGAATGCACCTTTTTACACTGCTTCACTATACAATGCAGGGGCTGAGCAGGGGCTTGGCAGGGATTTCACTCGCAGTTCACAACCTCTTTTAGAGGACTGGGTTCAAGTTGCCTGTTCACATAAAACATGGAGGCTGAACAACTGATGGAGAAGGTATGATTTCAATCACTTAATATCAAACTTTGACTTGACCTCAGTAGCATGAAAAAACTCCTGTGAAAGCTCTAGTTGTTAAAAAAAAATTATAATCTAGTTAATGAATTGTGTTTGATGTTTAGAGGGCAGGGAGTTCACCCTGAATTTCTTTCCCTGCAAGATGAGGCTTTCACTGCATTTCACTGACAGTAAAAGTGAATGCCCCGGGTATCCCCCAATGGGGGGGGTGCAGGGGTATCAAATGACTGGTGCATTAATTTTAGATTGATGACCATTGATCAGCTATGTCATAGGCACGATTTCAAAGATATTCGCCACTGACCTTTATAATCCCAGGGGGTGGCTGCTCATAGCTGCAAAGATAAGCACATTCCTGAGTCAAAAGGAAGTCTTGACAAATTGAAACTTTCCCCAAGCCCACAATGCAATCCAACATGCACGCATCGCAGAACTTTCAGGGCAGTATACAGAAACGATTTAAGGAAAATATGTCCTTACAATGTTTCATAGTGTTTAGCCAGTTCTATTTCATCACTTTCACTACGTTTTCTTTTTCTTTTCCCTTCTTTTGTTTTACTTTTTTCACCCTTTGCCTTACGCTCTCTTTTCCTGTCCGACATGTTGTTGTCTACGAAGGTATACCGCAGACCAACTAGCTCGTCATAGACTGTAAGTGCCAATTGAATTGTGGGATTGCTATTGGCCAAGATGGCGGCCTCCTTGAGACTTGGTTTCCGACGATTTGTTGTTAGAAATAACCTCCGTTCAGTGGCAGCTCTTCATTCTTCTGTACGAAGTTACGCTGCTCCTGATAAAGTGACACATACTGGCCAGGTAGTTCAGGGTTTGAAAGAAATCGGTGAAACATAAAACAATAAGCAATACATTCTAAGAAACTTAAAACGATCTTTCTCCTGATCTTGTGTTGATTAATATCATATTGATTGTGTGATATTGTATTCTTATGAACTTGTAGCAATGGGATTCAAACGATTACAGACTTGCTCGTTTTACAGACAGGCAAAAGGAGGTAGGCTTAAGTCTTCCAATATTGAATAATGTTGTAACAATTACTACAATTTTATTACTCTTTACGAGCTCATCGAACAATTTTGTTTTCCAAAATCATCATTATAAACCCCAGCCAACCCCATGTATATGCATTTACTTTACAGCATGTAACCATCACTGGCTTGTAAACTTCACTCAGCCAAATAGTTACGAATTAATCAAAGTTGAAAGAAACACATAAACTTAATAATATCAAAGAGCATAATCATTATTGATGTTGGTTTTGGACTTCTATACACTGTAGGTACCAAAATTAACAATATACTGACTCAGGATTGTTGCACAACAGCATGTTGCAAGTAACTGCAAAACCAGAAAATGAAGAAACTTTGTGATTAAAGCTGATGATGCACTGAGGCACATTTGAAATCACTTTTGTAAATGCAATTTAGCTCACACCATTTGAATGCTTAGACATTGTTGTTATGGTCACGTTATGCACTTAGCAACCATATGAATGCAGTTGCAAAGGTGTTCAGTCATGGGAGGTCTGACCATGGTAATGCTTCCCTTAAAAAGTCTGAAAACTAGTCCCATCCAACACTGGGTGCACACGATAAATTATTTGAAAGACATAGTTCTCTTCCTAAGAAACCAAGAATTCCCCAAGAGTCACTCATTAAGCAACATTAATTCCAGTAAAATGAAGGTTTGAAAGGATGTTAATCAGAAAAAGCACTTGTGCAGTAGGTGCACTGTATGTGTATTTAGACTGAAAATGTTTGTGTACTTTTAGGTGAATGAAAAGTTTGCAATTGACCTAATTGATGAAGAACCACCAAAGGAAATCCATGGACGCCATGTATGGTGTGATGGAGGTCAGGACTTTTAACTTTCCAGGGCACAAATTAGCTTTCCTCAACATTTCCTCTTCAGGGGTATCTCTTTTATTAGATTTGTTATTATATATCAAACAATGTTAAAGAGTAACAAAAGAGAACAGCAAAGCGGTCTTTTCTTTCTTTGCAGCACACCCATCCATGCCCTCATTTCGAGTTAATTTAGTGTTGTGCTTCTTGCTTCCTTTGTAGAGGAAACAATCAACTCAGTCTCCTTTGTTTTGTCCTTGTAAACTACCCAAAGGATTGTATATTTCCAAAGTAAGGAAAACAGATTACATTCATCCAGTTAACTTTTTGGTTTGTATTTTAGGGGGAGGGGCTCTTGGACACCCAAAGGTCTACATTAACTTGGTAAGGATTTTTGTGGAAAATGTTCACGTTTACTTGAAAATTAATACATTTATGCAACACATATTTTATGCTGTGTTAACAGTTAAATTATATAGCAGCTGTGAGGGGTGTTACTGCAATACAGTGCTGTGATACAAAGTTAAGAAACCCATTTGGCTGCCACCTTGGTGTGCCTGTTAACTGAAATTCAGTGACTGATGGTAAAGTTAATTCAGGGAACCCTGTACATTGTATATCTTACTGTGCTGTATTGTGTCAGTTACAGTAGTTTTTTGATTGCATGTACATGTAAGTATTTAGTACTAGCATTTATTTGTACAAGGATATACACACATTCATTTGCCATTACTTCTGTCATTTTGTCAATTGCATAAACTTAGTACAGTTATTGTTCTGTTCATCCTGTTCAAAAACAAATTTTAAAGTTACATGTGCATTTAAAAATGTTGATTCAGCCTCATCAAGACATACTCTAACAGAGTCATACAGTGAGCCCATGTACAGTGTAGTGCCTTGTATTCTTGTTTGTCACTTGAAATCATTAAACGTTAAAAAAATGCTCATCAACAAACAAGAGACTCTGTGAATTTAAATAATCAACTGGTGTAGAATTTCAGGAGTTACATGTAAATCTCCACATCTCTCACACAAGAGAAGAAATAACCAGGCAACAAGAGCTTCCTGTCAACTGAGGCTAATTTATCATTAAATATATTTTTTTTCTTGTTTCTAAGCTTCCTTTTTTTTCCTTTCTTTTTTTTTATTTTCTTCCATGTACTGTCTTAAAGGACCAAAATGGACCTCATGCTTGTGGTTATTGTGGATTAAGATTTGTCATGGCTGCTGAACATCACTGATGAATGGACCAGTCTTTTTGATGTTATTGCAAAATTAAATGGAACATTCACAAATGAAAATGTACATAGCTTTTACCCTACTGTCTTGATTTCTGACATGAGCATTGAATTTGTCTTTTCTTCAGCCAGGTAGCATACATTTTCCAAGTACACAATTTAAAGAGTGAAGGATTGAATTTTCTTTGAGGGTATCAGTAATATTACTTAACCCCTTAACTGGCATTACAGTCTTTTGTCATAACATCTAAGTCAGTGTAAACATTTTGAAATAAGTAAATAAATAATAATGATCAGACCCTATTTTGCCTTTGTTTCTTTGTATGTTAGTATGTTTTTTATCTTTGGCCAGTATCATTGGTGGTATTTGCCAAGTAAACTGAACTACAGGCTGTACATGTTCATTGTACATAATGTAAATACTTCTCAAAGGCAAAGAACCATCACAGAACATTTTCACATGACATCATGGAGGCCATGTCAGCATCAGTCACAATTTCCAAACAGTGAAATTTGTTTCTCTCCCTGAGATTTTTTCTTAGGCAAAAAAATTGTCTATTGTTTGGAATACCAACTTCTGCTGGCCAATGTGAAAACACCACCATGAAGACAGAAAATCACATCATCAACAAACTGATCAACATACACTGATAACATAGTACATGTTCATGACCCAAAGCTTTCGTCTCACTACCATGAAAAGTTACAGGATAACAGACAGTCCATGTTCACGGAGCAACAGGCAAAAAGTTGTCCCAGTGAGCATTTTGAAAAGAGTGTTAGTTTGAACTCCACAATGAGACACAACATATTTCTTGAGTGCTCTCAACTAAAATTTTAAATTACTCCCTGCGGTATTGTGACACAATACCGCTTTCCCATGCTGTATGAAAGGAACTTTGTTTGCCTTCCACACTAGAAAAATGCTGTGCACAGGTGTGCAAAAACAATTACGTCTATAATGCATTGCTCATCAGGTCTGTCATTAAGTTTTGAGTCACCTGTAGCCTCGGTCTCCACACCCGTAGCAAACTTGTTACTTTGTGGCTGAATTCTACCAACAACAGGCAATTTCACCCGTAGCATTAAGGGAAAATCAAGCATACTCAGCCATAACAGGTGTTACAAGTTACACCCTTAATGAAACCCTTAAAAAATCAAAGTTCAGTTATGTTAGAAACCCTGCAACTGCTGTAAAAAGGTAAAGCCTGCATATGAGCCAAGTGGCCCATCAGGCCAATGCATATCTCTGGTTTCAGTAGCATGAAGTGACTGCAATTATTTCTACTCCCCCCAGAATGGGATGCTAGTCCACCACAGGGTTACCCCCAGCATTAATTTGCCAGTACCCATTTATACATCTGAGTGGAGAAAGCACAGTGAGAGTAAAGTGTCTTGTTCAACAACACAACACAATGTCCCCAGCCAGGGCCTGAACCCGGACTGCTTGATCCGGAGGCGAGCACACTAACCATGCAACTGATATATGTGTACTACTGATACCAAATATGCTTATGTGGTCACATCTACATTAACTTGCGGAAAATTGAAATTTTAATCTCAAACAATGCATCTTTCTATGACACACAGTACTTCTAGCCACAACAAAACAAGAAATATATGGAATGATGTTATTATGTTACCATACATGTACATAATAATATCTTTGCTTTTCATAGGTCAGGGAGTTGTCTAAAAAATTTTATTTGCTATAATTCTTAATATTTCATCTAATACACGTAAGTGAGATAAGATACATGTACCCTTGACTATCAGAAAATGCTCATAATTCTCTTTTGCATTTATAAATTTCAGAAATAACAAATATTTTACAAGTAAACAGGAAATATGACAAGTACATGTACCAAGATTTATTGATGATTCCTGTCTTATCCTGCATCTGCTCTGAATTATTAAAAACACTGTAACAGCTACTCTCTCTATTATTTCAGGCAGAATGATGCACAGGGCAATCATGCAAACTTACAACATGCAAAAAAACACAACAAGTATTGAAAAAAAAATTCTTGGTAGACTTGATCGTGTCATGCCCTGTCAAATCTTCAGAGTTGACATTCCTGTTGCCCAATCAGAGAATGATAGAAGCACTTTCCAGTACCTGTATGCTGTAGACGCAAATATTGTACACAAAGATTTCACTGTTTTCTGACAGATTGCAGGGTAAAGCAATAAAAAATGTTTCTCCTGTGTGATACATACTGTAGAACAGTGAACCATACACTTTTATTATCAAATGTCTTGCATAACAGTTCCTTCTATTCTATTTCTTCTTAAACTGGAAGATATCTTTTTAATTCTCTGATCAAGCCATGCTTGTAAATATGTAATTTACACTCGAAAAATATCTTATGTTTAAAATTATCATAAAATTTAGTTAATATCTTTTATGTTTTGAACGTGACTAGACACTTAACAAATTCTTAGCAAGGTGTGGAGAGCGAGAATGTTTATTTATAAAATGTTTCTGCTGCACAGTCTTGAACTGGTGTAAGAGTTCCTTGAAGTTTATATTCTGTACATGTTCACGCAGAGGGAAGTCATGTGCACCTTGGTTATTACTGCAAAATAAAATTGTAACCATAAGAAAAACTAATTATCATCGTCGTCGTCATCATTGTCACCAACATCATGATCATCATTGCAGTTATCAGTACTATTATCTACGTAGTTGATGTATATAAAGTATGCAGCACAGGATAACGGTTTCTCTTGGGTTCTGGGTCCAAGAGTGCCCTACCAAAATACTGAGTAAAAAGTCATTAAATAGGCCCTTTGCACGATCCTGTCACATGGTACAAAATCACACATGCTGGTGAGCAAGTTGCACAGTGGGACTTCCAAAACAATGCCACTCGTACCAGTCCACCTGGACCTGCCTTTGTTTAGAAGTCCCACTGCGGAACTTGCTTGCCAGCATCTGTGATTTTGTACCATGTGACCAGATCGTGCAAAGGACCTAGTTCCATAGTTTAGCACCTGATAAAATAGAGACAGGAAAGAAGTGAGCTAGTATTCAAGATAAATTTCTAGTGACTTCATACTATTAAATATAGCACATGTATGTGAAACCAGAGTCATTGAAGTACAATATTATAGGCCACTAATTTCTCAAGAGAATGGACTTGATATGCTATAAATTTATTTTGTTAATCAAACTTGCCATTAAGTTCTTCTTAATTGATGCCATTAAGTAACCATACTGTACTTACAGAGGTCTTAGTGATTTGATTCCAGCAATTTACCTAATGTTACCCTTTGATCAGGAGCTCCTTTTTCCAGCCTGTCAAAGTGCAGTTCCACCTTACTTTCTTCAGAAAAATAATACTATAGGCATCCTGTCACAGAATATCTTACCTGATGTCAGAAGAAAGCACTCTTCCATTTGGTACACAGTCCAATCTGTTTCTTAAAGTTGTAAATGCATCACTTTGTGGAAGAAGCATTAGCAAACCATATAATGACTTCAGAAGGAAATGGTTGTGTTGTGTGTCTAAGAGTTGAAGACGTAAGACTGTAATAAAAAAAGGAGAGTTTCATTAGAAATAAAACTTGCTAACATCTCTAGTGAAAGGTTGGCCTGTGAACAGGCTCCCAGTGAGCCCAAACGAAGCGAGGGAGCCTGTAGACATTCTATTGATGCTGCCGTTCTATGATACCAGCTCCTGGTATCATGATATGATTGGTTAAATCGCTGATTGTTGAAATCTTTGAGATGAATATTTGACAGATCTTTGTAAAATTATACGACTTCAACGGTTCGTTACAATAGTGCATTTGCCGTTCTCTTTTAAGTTCTGGTCTCCCGACCTCTCGTTATTTCACAAGTGATTCTGAAGGGTACTTTATGCTCTGTTACGACGAGGAATTTTAAGTAGAAGCTAGTGGAGTGAAGCCGTTTGGCAGTGCTATAGCAATTTTTTTAGAGGTCAAGGGCATGGTTTCCTGACTTTCTGCTGTTATCTGCTTGTCGCTTTGCAGAGTTTGACACCTCTATCATGTGGTTATAATTTCTTTAGGCTCATTTCAGTATTGCAAAATATGTTTTAAGCTCTCTACGTATTGGCTCTGGAGGGACAAAGTGTTTGAAATATTCTGTGAACATGTTGCTTACTTGCACTCTATATTATGACGCCCAGCCCAGCTATTTGATTAGCTCAATTAGAACTGTTTGCAAGTACCGAAAATGTAGCTTCTTGACAGGTCTAATAACCTCATTGACTGATTTGTTACAGGCTTATCACCAAGGGCAGATAGGCACATCAAAAACAAAGTCTACAGGCTCCCCTGTCCCTGTCCCGATTGCTTTGCTCTCCAAATTCTTGTTTCACACTCGCCAAAAATTTTTTCCATCCTCGCCGGGAGCCTGTTTGCAGGCTAGTGAAAGTTAATTAAAAATTTTATATAATAGAATAAATACCTATAACTTCAACTGAGAGAGAAAATAATAACAATATTATTATAATTGGTTTTATATCTTTTATTGCTACCACTCACATGTAAATATAGGAGACTCTATGAGCTGAACCAGTTTATCAATCTGTATAAGAAATTCAACATTGACTTCTAGATGTCCACTGATAAATACACAGTCAAGGATTATCCATTAAAATGTGTTGTGCAGAAATACTAAGAGATTTACACTCCTGAAATCATACAGAATTGTGTACCTAGAATTTTGTCACTGTGACAAGCTCTTCCTGCATTTAACAAAATAAATTAATTTTGAAAACTTTTGACTTTCTTTGCACCCTGCCATGGGACGCTAACTCATTGTAAAATAATAAACTCCCAGCATCTTGTCAGGATTTCCTGGTTTGCACTTCACTTGTATCCATTTTTATTATCCAACTGCAGTGAATACCACCCAAATAAAAGTAGAACTATACAGCGATATTGTACATTTATTTGTACAGTAGAAAACCTGTTTGCAGTACAGGTCAGCGCACGCATGCAAAACTGTCACACTCTCCCTCTTTCATTGATAAACTTATTGACTACAGCAGTTAGATAATAAATATCTTATTACTCATGTTTTGGTGTATAGTACCGCTTTATACTTTTACTTTTTTGTATTTTGACTCGCCAGGCTCGTCAAAATACGGCACAACTTGTAAATATATACTGGGATACTACACGCCAAAACATCCAATAAGATTATATACTCTTGGAGAGGTTGACAGGGATCTTGCCACTGAGAACAACCAGTGTTCAAACCCACACTGCTCGGAGTGAGCAAGAGACAACTACCAGGACACTATGATGTATGCTACACATTACTGTAGTTCAGTAATAACTGGGATACATATCAGATTACCCCTCAGCATTTTAAGTTGTAGACAACATTCTTATGAATATGCAAATCCAAAAGTTGACCTTGATTTTGTGTTTTTCAAGGATACAAGATCATCAGCAGTTCACATGCATGTTGGTAATTCTGTGTCAGTAAACACAGGGACACTGTTGCTACAGGATTGTGACACCAAGACTGGTATAAACAACAGAACAATGAACAGCTCTCCTAATTAAACAAACAAACAAACAAACATCACTGGCTTTATTAAATTGCACAACAAAGTAAAAATTACTCGTAAAATTTGGATATTTTCTAAAGAAACATTACTCTGGAACAAGAGGAAACCAATTGAAACAAAATTAACTGCAATTTTCTTACTGCTGTTGCTAGCTCCCTTAGTTGATCCCTGAGGTCAAACAACTCACTGGATGTGAGTAGAATCATGTTCAAATACCGCACCATAAGTGAGGCAAACTGAAAGTCCTCTTCTTGAAGAAGAATTTCTGACATTGCTCTGTAAATATCCTCTGCATTTAGCAGAAGACAGAGTTGCCTGGAAAAAAGAAAACAGTTTTGTATTAATATGTTACATGTGTATTGTGTTTCAAGACAAACAAAGAAATAATCATGTATACCAAAAAAAAACAAAGACCAATTTGCTTGTCATGCCCTGACAAGTGAATGTCACACCATGTCATGAGAAATACACGTCATGTCATGTCATGTGTAGCACATGTCATGTCAAGGTACAAGTCAAATTGTGATAAATACTTGGACATGTCATACAATGCAAACTAAGTACATGACATGTCATGTCATGTCATATGCATATCAGGTCACTTAATGCACAATGTCAAGTACATACATTGTTCCAGTGGCAAATCCAGACCTAAGGGGCAGGGGGAGGGGGGGGGCAGTTTTTTTTGCTTGCCCTGCAGGCTTTTTTTCCTTCTGCATTTTTTCTTTTTTACCCAAAGATCCACCCCAGATCCACCACTGCACACATGTACATGTATCATATCATTCAAGTCATTTTGAGTCAATTAATTCTTACAGGTATGTTATGGTGACTCACAACTTTCTCCAGAATTTTTCTTCATGTACACTTCATCTTTGATGAATCACTAACAGCAAAATACTGTACAACTCTTTTGCAGTCAATGATATACTTATAATGGGATTAAATAAAATGCCCAATCATTGGTATACAAATTATGGTTGCCATCAGATGGTAACTTGTTCTGTCAAAAAAATCTTATCTTGTTCACTAATGTTTGAGCATTTCTTTCATGCCCTCTTTGTAGTTAGCTGTACGTGTAAACTGAAGAGGAGTTACCAGTACTAAGTACTCATCCATCAAAGAAGAAGGGCCAGTAAAAGCTGGAAAACCATTGTGAGCCACCTCAAGTAATGTTGTGTCATGTTAAGAGCATGTCATATTATTTTGTATCATTTTGTCAAGTCATGTAATGTCATGTTTTAAATGCATGTACATGTCATTTACTGTTATGTCATGTCAAGTACATGACAAGTAAATAAGTACACTAAGTAACTTCATTTTACCAGGGTAGCTCATTCAACAATGAGGCTAGAATCGATAGGGACCCTCAGGGAAAATAGGGGCCCTGAGACATGACATGCAGAGTAAGTGTACAATGTACTGTATACGGACAAATTACATTACCTTAAAATGAATGATCCTCTCTCCTCTAACAGCTTTCTGTCTGTTCTAAACAAGGACATCACATTGTTCATAAACTTATGAAAGTATTTGTTAAGTTGCCTGTGTGGTGCAGATGTCTGCTCTGATGAGGCTGGTGAGCTTGATTCTGACATACTCTGTGAGGGACTGTTTCTTGGTGGCCCAGCTGGGGAGGCTGAGATCTCTGCAAGTGCTTCAAGGACAAGAAGGACCACCTGTAAAAAAATATAAAAAAAACTACAACAGTGAAACTAAACTTTGATATGCAGTGGAGTAGTAATTCTTCACTGGTCAGGAGTAAATTTAAATATTGTGCCATTTATACTTGTATAATTTGCTAGTAGCAGCAGCATTGCATCAATGACCAAAATCATACATTTACCACATAACTTTCCTATCTAACAGACTGGATGAAATTGTCATTAGTCTCCAAAGACAATACTGTGGGCAAGATTATCCAGCAATAATTTTTTCAACAAATACCATTATTATAACTAAAGACAGAAGCGATTATTATTGCCTCTGTCTTTCATTGCCTCATTATTGTCTCATCTGTCAGTGTGTGACAACAAACAATTGCTTATTCATTGGTTGTTCACAAACTGTATAGCCAATTATTTATAGTTCACTGAGGTTCAGAAATTCCTCAAAACACCTACAGTAGGATAGATACGAGCTAAGTTTCTCATACACGTAGCAATAGCCTTGTTACAAGTACTTCAGGTTCACCTCATGTATTAAAAAATTGCAAGCAAATACTAATGCAGGTCATTTCTTACCTCATCTGAGGGATCAGACAAAGTCTTTAAGAGTTCTGGAAAAAGTTGCTCAATTTGACCAAATATCTGCCACAAAATTATACAAAATATTATCATGTACATTTATTACAAAATGGTGTATAATGTTATTAATTAATGCAGCTTAAATTTACATCATACACTGATTTGAGTCCCACTTGACAGAAATATCCAATTGCTGTGAAAGCTAGAGATTGCTTTTCAAACATACTTGGGACCATTTTCATTACATCCAGTTCAGACATCACAGTCGTATATCTGAAGACTTCAATCAGCACAACAGCTATACAGTAATGTATCTCAAACGTTGACTCAAACTCAACCTTCACGTACCAGCCACACTGATTTGTTCTTCGGTAGTTGGCATGGCTCATTTATACACAGGTAACAGTGTTTATAATATTATTATTAATTTTATGTCAAGATGTAATGTATTTAGAAAGCTTAATGTAACCTTACATGTACATGTAACTCTTGCAACTGATGAATGCCACAAACGTTTTAAATAATTTTAATGATCAATATCTGGAGTTTTGTGGGATGACTGTTACAGCAGCTAGATTACTGAACAGGAATGTAAAACTGAGGTACGTGTACAGACTGCAGCAAGCAACTCACCTTATTAGGAGTCTTCATATGAAGAAGTAAAATCCATCGCAAGACAGCTATTCTTGTTTGTATTGACTTGTGTGATAACTGGCAGGTCAGTACGTTCACCACTGGGCCAAGATCTAACTGTGTTCGAGGTTCAACAAAATCGTTATCACAATCCATGGAAATGGAGTCACTGTCCACATCTTTATCATCATCTTCTGTAATCAATCGCATCAAGCTTTGATTGACTGCTTTGACAACTTCTTTGATATATAGATACTGTTAAAGACAGTACAATCTCTTACTCAAGTGATACTTACTCCATTAAATAGAGGATATTACGAGTACATGGCCATGTGGAGTTATGAAATTTCTCTTCTAGTGTTGAAAAAGAATTATTTTATCATGGCCATCTGGAATGCATACATGTAAATGCAAAATGCTAGTACATCTGATATCAGCCAACCAAACCTTATTGCAGGTCCTACATTACATTATACATATTTGTCTTTAAAAAAATTACCAACCCCGCCAAGAAATACATGAAATTATACACTCCTCCCAGTACATTCTTGAATGCAAGAATGTCTTTTCAAGATATCTGCACCAAGTGGCTACTGGTAATTTGTGGGTGACTGAAAAGACAAGTTATGGTTTCCAAATTATTTTGCAGAAGGTTTAATGAAATCTTGCTTCTTACCCATTGGTGATTGAAAAAGCCAAGTCATACATGTATAATAAGGTAGATGACCTTCTCAAACTCATTAACAATTCAATCGCATAAAGTTTAAACAAAGGAAACCATGACAATTTCTCGAACTACCCGATTTTTCAAACCAATTTTAGTTTCTCTTGGAGGTTCGAAAAATCGGGATTCCGCTGTATTACATCATGGAATTATTGACACCACAGTAATAAAAGGATATTTTGCTTGTCTTGTTCATAGGCCATGCAAGGCAATATTGCTTTCAAAATTCCTGCATTGAACGGCAACATTGTCCGTCCTGAAAGTGTGATGAACTCTCTCAACCAGGTGATTGCAGTAAACTGAATCACCTCATCTGAAAGAAAATGAAAAAAGTTGAATTTAGAAATAGATTAACATTAGAGGACGTTGCTATTGGCAAAAAATAACAATATTACTGATAGCCTTTTAGATCATTTATGGTTGGTTACTTTTCTAAGCTCTTATTAATATCATTTCCAAATGATACTGGTATTAATAGTACTTGAGAACTTGATGTTTATTTTCCTGATGGAGAAGCTCGCACATTCTTCTTTCCATCCAAAATGGGTTTTGTTTCTTTACTGATTTCCAAATAACTATATTTTATTCAAACTTATTTACTGATTTATTTGCTGATAAAAGCCATGACCCTTGACAGACCTACAGATACTGAGACCTTCCCCCTTGCAATGTTGTCTTGGCTAAAACAGGAATAGCATGTGTTGGTTTTCAGACCAAACAACCTTGAATGAGGGGATGGGAGGGGGTGAGTTTGATACATTTGTGTGGTTTGTTTACATGTAGCACACAGTTCAACAGTTTGGTCTAGGGTTGTAGCTGGTACATCAAATAACAAACTCTCTAATTTTGATCTTTAGTCTAACGGACACCTGCTGTTGACAGATACATGTATATGTACATCTGCCATCACGTGTAAGTGTACAGCTTTCCTACATCTAATGAACAACCAGGCTACACCTGTACTTTAGTTTGACAGTTAATCACATGTACTTCTGATCACCTTCTGACTGTGAGTGAATAACCAAAATGTTGACCATGTCAGCAAAGTTGACATTTTTAGATTCTCTCTTGATGCCTCTCAAGAACTCACCAAGGACTGCTTCACACCTGCACAATAACAGACATGTGGATTATAATATTGCAACAATCACCTGGCAGTATGGAAATTATATCTTTGTCTTATTCCTTTCCCACAGGGAAAGCATTTTCTCTTGTGATCCACAATTCAAAAAAGCATAGATGCCCATGGTTAAAAAGGTCTGTAACAGGAGAATTGTATAATCATGTGACTGTATGTACAGTATATACATTGTACAGTAGCAAACCAGTGGAACAACAGTGGGGGATGCAAACAAAATGTATCAATCATAGAAAACCTTCATGATATAAATTGTACTGTGTAAAAATTGCCTGATGATGACTAGCAGTAAGCAGTCTATATCTCAAGTGACGATAACATGAAACAAATGATGTACTTTTATTAAATCTGAGTTTGTTTCTAGGCACCATCATGCAATCCCAAAATTTTTATTTAAGAGTTCAGTGGAGAAGTTGCCAACAAAAACTGTCAATAACTAAATAATATTTATCAATCACGGACAATAATTACATTTTTCTAATCTCCGCATTGCGATCCTTGAAAATATTGAACAGCCCATCAAGGAATTCTGGAAGGTGTGCAATAAGGTCAAGGTCCGGCACAGCATCCAAAACCACCAACTGAAACAAGACAAACTCAAATATCAAAGATTTGAATCAGCTGCTGTTATGATGTACAAATCTTTACATGGGATAAGTTAACCCCTGAGTGTCTGAGTTCTAGATTTGTGTTTCGAAACGACATAGCATCATATCGATTAAGGAACACTGAAAAAAAATTGGAAGCCCCGCACCAATTATTTGAAGAAGAGTTTCTCTTACAGTGGAGCCAGGTTGTGGAACAGCCTATCCAGTGACCTTCGTGCAGCAACATCTTTACATGATTAAAATTTTTAAACTTAACATACGTCACCACAGTTTTGAATGAGTTTTAACACGGCATCCTTGTGAAGCAGCTTTTAGTATGTAGTTCAGGTTAGTTAGTTTAGTTAGGGACAATTAGTTGGTCTTTTATCATTTTTTTATAATCCTTGCTGAAGGAGTATAAATAGTATAAATAAAGTTACCATTACTATCACCATTGCAACATACAATAAATGTAAACAAATGTAAAATTCTTTAAAATTTTAATGTTGTTAAATACAATTTAATTTAACAAAGTTAAGAACAAAGAGTAGCTGGTACTTCCGGTCAGCGATATTCATATGGTATTGCAGGCTCAGTACACTTTGCCTTGTATTGGCGTGTTCCAGTGTGGCGGTCCCTGGAACATTTTGGTCGTAGGATTGAGCAGTTTCCTACACATCTTTGGTCTATTCATCAACGTTTTTTCTGCCCCTCCCCCCTCCCCTCCCATCTCAATTATTGTTAACTCAGTGTGACATGTACCTGGAAGACTACGTGGGGGTTCATGGTTGGGTTGCTGGGATTGCCAGCCATGGAGGAGCATTATACTGTCTAGGAGACTGCTGGTCACAGTGGAGGCCCCTGGATATCCCAGGCACCCATCTTCCATACAGCATGATGCAGTTGTTAAACTTTTTTAACTTTACAGAACACACAACTGCAGTTATACTTACCCAAGAGACTAGAAATTGTTTTGCAAAGGGGTTAGCTGTATAAATTCTGTCTCTTAACAGAGGAATAAATGACACCAAGTCAAATGAGGAGCTTTCTGTCACAATATCCTGCAAAGAGAGAGAGATGTGAAGTAGTCTTTTTTTTTTAAAGAAAAACAGTATAATTTGTAGAAATCACATGCAGGTAGGTCCTACTGTACAAATCTTCAACTAATCATTCACTGTGCATTGGTGAATTCAATTGATCTACACTGTATCAAAAATCAGACATACATGTACAGTATACAGTTTTATATGTACAAATACATGTTTATGTTCATGAATATATGTACATGTACATAATTATCACAATCATGTCATTATTTGAAGACTTCAAGCACGATGATTAGCCTCAAGTCACCCAGATTAGGACCATTGTTGAGAATTTATCCATTGTAACTAACTGATCTGTAACTTGTTCATTATTTCTTACCTAATAACTTACCTTAATTAACCTATCAAGTAGTTCTGCTCCATTTTTCACATTGGGATCAGGATCAGCAGCAAGCTAAAAAAAATAATAAATCTCTCAGAAAATATTTCTAATAAATAAATATTTCTATGATGGCACAGCTGTAAAACACAATAATTGTGGACAAAATATCCTTGGGACGGTGACATAATGCCATGGATTACATGTGTCTGTTTTACAACTGAAGTTTGAAAAAGCACTGCTATCCTTTTAAAAATGCATTGCTTTTGCCCCCTGCCCCAGCCAATACAATGTTAAAACTGATCAGGAGAAACTGCAGACCTGTACATGTCATTATAGTCTTCGACATTGAAGGTGGGATAGGGAGATGGTCTGGGAAAGTGAAGTTTTCATGTTTGACTTTTTATTTGATGCCTGTGAGAAAGCAATGTGCAACTATGACCCAAGACTTTAAATTTATCCATGGGCGGAGCAGCTTAATGACCGTACAATGCATATAGGTGCCATTCTGTAGAACTTGCAAAGCAGCCTGAACAAGACTCTGGTGCGTGCAAACAGATATAAGAATCTTCTCTAATGTACATTGTGCAAGTATACAGTAGTTGATCTCTTCATGGACTATCCAAGAATTGTTCCCACTGATCAGATGCACTAAACTGCTGATTTTACATGGTACATGTGTTTACCTTGCTCAAGCCATCAAAGACATCATTGAAGAAGGGCAACACAGAGCCTCTTGCTACCTTGGCAATGTTATAAAGGGCTTCACAAGCATAGTACCTCACCCTACTGTCCTGGTCATAGAAGCAGGTCAGTACTGGAGGAATGAGATTCTTCAAATACAGACCAGCATCCTGATAAAGAATTCAATCAAATTCATACATTCATCATTTTTGTGTTATGCAGTTATCCTGTTAAGCACACTGCATAGTCAACATTGTCAGCATTTGTGGCTGGGATATTAGAATAGAATATCATGTTACTAATACAATGTAGTATTGTATTATATTACTAATACAATGTAGTATTGCGCTATTAAATTTACAGCCGTAGTACTAGTAGTAATATTAATAGTTACATATTANCTCAGTTTTTTCGCTAATCTTTATCGTTAACTGTATTTCCAAATTTAATCTTACATATTATGTACAGTTAAAACAAATTCATTTTGAAGATTTGATGCTTATGATATGGTTAAATACATGTATGGTATCTAATGATTTTTGTAATAATATTGTGTCTGAGCTTACCATATTTAATTTCTTTTGCTTGGTTTAGCCTGGAAGCTAAATTTACTTAAAATAGAACAAACTTGTCTAATGAAATAAACTGTAATGAATAATTTGATGAATAAGTCATAATTGACAAAAGATAACTACAGGAAAGTGAAATTCTACTAGAAAGCAAAAATCTGTTCTACAGTGTAGCACGAAGTTTTGCTATAAATGTCATTCAGTATCCTCACTCAAATGACTATATACAAACATGTGAACTGGAATAATATGTATTAAAATTCAATATACATGTAATGTGATAAAAATTCAAATTGATATAATTTGAAAAAAAAGAATTAATTTCTCAATTTCACAGATTCAGAGTTCTGCAAATATACATGTACATGTGCACTTTTGCATGATGGACAAGGCTGTGACAACAGCAGGGTTCCGTAATAGGCCTGTTGACCTAAAATATTAGGAAAGCTCCAGGAGGAAGAAAATGTTTAAAATTGTCATGTATATTCACGAATAGGCAACTTAATTATAACAGCAAATCCTGAAATCATTAGTAATCAAGAAGTAAAACCAAGCAAACCTGTAACAAAGAAGTAATGATACCTGATCTCAATTAATTATCATAGATTTTTATACCATTTCCTTTTGGTGTTTAGGAATGTGTTGGGATACAGGCTGTTTAACCACTTGAAAAAATAGTTCTCGTAATTTTGTTTGGAAATTTCTGTTCTCAAAAAAATTGTCCCATTTGTAGGTTCCCCAAAGAAATGGTCAAGGTTTGAGGATGTGAAAGCTGAAAGGCTTGGAATTGGTGCAAACAGCCCAACATGGAAGATCACAAACTTCCATTCACAACAGCTCCATGGGAAAACAAGACTGTACCTTTACAGAAGTTCTGTTTTTTTTTCTAGAAATTTTCTACCTATATGACCCCACCTCAAAATTTCAGGAATGAGAAATTTGCTCTGATTTAACATTCATGCAAAGTAAAATAAAATCTGTACGACAGATTTTCTGAAAACTAAGAAAATGAGAGATCAAAAATAGCTCAAAATCTGTCTTATGTATTTTTTTTAAAAATTTTGGCTCTAAATGCGATTCACCCCTGCAAATCGAATGTGAAAATCTCATCATGGGTTATACGGTAGGTTTTTGAGCAATCCTCAATCAAAGACTAGCTTTTACAACCTTGGACAAGAATTGAATTGTACACGCCCTTTATTTACACGCGCTTATGTGACGCCATGTATCGTTTGCAAGAAAGCAAGAGTAAATTCAAGCTCTTTTACCACTTATTTACAATGTATGAGCTTTTTTGCCATATTTTTTTAGCCCTAGGTTTAAACACATGTTTGAACAGCATTTGAAACTATTGCTACACATACCAAAGTGATTTAATGCCTTTCAAGTGCTGTGGTGGTTTTTGTTTCTTCTTAGGGTTACTTACGTCATTTTTGCACGCATCAATACTGACATCTGGCAGGCAATGGTAATGTGCGCTACTTAGTCTCAGAAAAACTTTAGTAGGCCACCTTAAGTCTCAATCGCAATTTCCAGAACTATTTTTGTAAAGGGAAAAAGACACAGTCCCTTGGGGTGTCTGGAAAACCCGAATAGCGAATAGCGAATAGCCGCGAATAGTGAACAGCAATTAGTCCCGAATAGTAAATAGCAAATAGTACGAATAGTCTCGAATAGTGCGAATAGTGGTGCACAGTCTCGAATAGTGGCGAATAGTGGCAAATAGTGGCAAATTAGTGGCAAATCATAGGGTACCCAGTATCTCGCAGTCAACCTCACAGCAACGTAGGACGGGATTTTCCCGCTAAAAAGCACAGACGCTTATCGGGACAAAAGGTGTTTCTAAACGTAATTCCTTCTGTTTTAACCGCTCCAAAAGCATAAATACGTCTTTATAAGGTTGTCCTTGTGTTTTCTGTTTTCTTAATGTTGGCGATGGACAACCCGAGCCTGAGTCCGGTAGCCTACGTGTAGCCGCACCCACCCCCCAAGGAAAAATGTTTCTCCTCAGGCGGCGGGTACGGCTACACGTACGCTAGAGTCTGGAGAAGAAAAGGCAATAAATTCACTGAAATTCTGTTGCTTAACTGGATAATTAATTAACGCAGGATATTAGACCTAAAGCGGTGACTATTGACGACTATTTGTCACTGTTTGCCACTTTTCGCGACTGTTCGCCACTATTCGCATTATTTGAGACTATTCGCACTATTTGGGACTATTCGCCATTTGCTATTCGCGACTATTTGCTATTCACTATTCGGGTTTTCCGGACACCCGATAAATTTCTGTTTTCGGTGAAACATGTAAGTTTGCTAGTGATAACATACTTGGGCGCCACCGCGCAAAATGAAAAGTATTATATTATTAAAAGAAATGGATAAGTAAGTCATCAAAATACTTTCAGAGTTCCTGGGAAATGACTTAAAATAGTGTTTCTTTCAAATGAAGACGTTTTCCCTTTTCATTCACCCAAATGAAAAAATATGCTGTCGCCGGCTTTTCAAATTCGACACTGTGCCTGTGTCAAAACTAAAGTGGGAAGGCGACTTGTTGTTAATTCAGCGTGTTTTAAATTTCTCGCGTTTCTCTTAGCTTCACAATGATTTCGTGGAGCTAGACAAGATGCAGGTGAACATTCAAGGAGTCGAACGCGATCTTCGACGAATTCAACAAATTGATTCAAGGCT